CCACGAAAGCTTCTCACTTCACTAACTGTGCTGATGTCTTTCTAGAGCCGCGGCATACCACCACGACCAAAGTACAGTATAGGCAACTGTCTTCTATGGGCAAGGTGCGACGCAGCGGAGGACCTCGACAAGGAGACACTCTTTACTATCGCTCTCCGCGTCCGCAAGTCACTCATACGCTATCGAGAACCTGGCTACGCTGCCGCCGCTGATGCGGCACATGCAACGAGGGCTGTGGAAGCCATCAACGCAGAGCTTGCCCAGGATTTTATACAGCGGCCGGGACACATGGTGGTGAATTCAACCTGGCGGTGAGCGCTGAATATATTGCTCATTCACTATGCTGTGGCTGATCTCGCGTGACAACCTTAGTTTCGACTGGACTTCGGCGCATTTCGGATTCCCTGGCCAAACGCGATTCTTCCATACGGTCCTGGACGAGCCACGATTCGTGAAGATGTTTCAGCCTAACCCAACACGACAGCCGGACGGGACATGGAACAGACGACCCAAAGATGATGTCGAGATCACCTTCTACATTCACAAGGAGCTCAAAGAATCGTTCAAAGAGATCTTCGCCTCCCAGGCACGGGTCTTGGGTATGTCAGGTGATGTTGAGTGGGTAGACGTGGCTTAGAGTAGAGCACAAGAACAGTAAGGTTGAGTGGATTTTGACCTTAATACGTGCTTGAACATCCTTACTGGACCGCCGTCGCTTGATGCGCCTCCCGCCTGCTGCCGCCTGACGGATCAGACATCCAAACGTTTACATAAGCTGATGGCGCATGCCAAACACACGACCACAACGCGAGTAAATTGCTCGCCTCGTGAGCGCGGCATCCCCTCTCACCCTGCCCGCCATGGAGCTCACGCGCGAGAATGCCCGCGAGATTTACTGCTTGCCTGTGCGACAAGCCAAGCAGTACCTTCCAGAGATATTTAGGAGACTCCGAAAGCCGGCAGAACAGCAGCAGGACTGGGTGCAAGACTATGTCGTACGTTCAGCTTTGCTTGCATGCTTACGAGAGCGCTGACTTGCAACGTTAGGCATGGTTGAGGCAGAAGTTTCTCCAATACTGCATGTCCTGTTTCGGTGTTCCTCGGGGATGGGATGCATTCGCAGAAGCTTGTGTCGAAGCGGGTGTTTGGGAGACATTCACGGAGCTTGCACTTCAGCCTATCAACTATGCGTGCTGGATCGCGATCTTCAACGCCTTGGACGCTTTGTGCTATCTTTGTACCGTGTCTACACTGAAGCAACGTCGAATACTATTCGAGAGATGCGTCAAGTGCAATGCACTAGATACACTCGTGAAGGTGAGCTTGAGCGTCGCGTTATATGCGCATATGTGTACTCATTTGCACGCTTCGCAGATGATCCGAGAGCACAACTACAACTTGCGCAAGTATATTGCTATCCGTGTCTTGCGAGCTGTCGCCTCAGACTTGTTTCTTCCTGAGATTTTGTCTCCCGAGACTGCAGCAGATCTTGTTGAATTCTTAGCCAGCTGGACACGGGACGACGAGACTAGGTGGATGGAGCAGATGCGCCAACCGGTCGAGACCTGGCAGATTGCGATAATGACCAATCGTCTCACGGTGTGTCCATCGCAGAGTTCATGTACATCGTTGTCAATCTTACTATCGCATGTCATGTAAGGTCCCGCGCCCAATGGGCGTAGCATATGGCCAAAGATGGTACGGCATGACCCAAGAACTTGCCATGTTCGCCGCGTATGGCATCCTTTCTCGCTATCCCCTTCATTCCCGCCAATACTGCCTGGATGTCCTCAAGGCTCGTCCGGTCATTGTGGATCTGCTCCTTGATGTTGCTGCCCTTCCCCGACCCGTTGCATACCCAGAGGTCCAGATAGATCAGCTAGGTAAAGTTGTTTGTTGATCATATGCGTTCGAAGTCTGACAGTCTGCTTGTCAGCCTCCGAAACTCTTGCTCTCCTGTTCCAATTTCCTCGACGGACGATCCCTGGGGTACAGCTCCCTGTACCAGATGAAGGCAACAATGAACTGTACGAGGAATACAAGGCGACGATCGAAGCTCTAAAGATCCTCACTTCTCGACCGAGCTGGGTTCAACGAATTCTTACTGTGTTCAAAAGGCTCGATAGTGAGACTTTCCCTGATGTGGACAGGCCAGTAGAGAAGACTTCCCCTCAATGGGCTATATCCTGAATAGCTCTTTTAGGAAGATATCTCGCGTCGTCACCGATTATTACGGCGTCCCTCCGAACGAGAACACGACAAAGATGATCTATGACTCTAGAGGTGATTGCATTTCTTTGGCACAAATGCCAACCTAACAGTGTATATCAGGCCAATCAAGAAACTCCATGCTCCGCTTGATATCTGCCATTACTCACCTAGACAATATTTCTGACGGCGAACTAATCTCTTTTCTCCGCGTTGCCTACCTCGCCAGTCAGGGTTCGCTGAAGAAGTCGCTGGAAAATTTCGTACCGCGGAGCCACCGCGAGACCTGCGAGCAAAGCGAACGTACAACAGACGCGTACCGTAAAGCCGTCTGGGCGAATGTCGCCGACTATCCCTCCGAGCCGACGTGCATTGTCCCAGAACAAGCCATTTCAGGACCCGTCGCACTGCTGCGGCTTCTGACAATATTGGCTGAGCGCGGCGTTCTCGATGAGATCCCGAAGTGGACGTCACTCCCAGTGGGCACCGTACCTGGGACTGAGCTGAAGCAAGTACAGCAAATAACGAGCTTGGAAGTCATACAAAAGCTCCTTCCCCTTGTTGTGCGACGTGTCACGATCGCGCGCGACAAGGTGCGAGAGTGGGTGGTAAGTCCCAAGCCCCGGAGACGGACACATGGCACGAGCGCACTCTTTGCCGCCAGCGGAGCTTGCGGTGTCGCTGTTCACCTTCAACGAGGCAACTAAGGGCCGCTGGGAGGTACAGATGCGCGGCGCGAAGAAAGAGCTCGTGCC